CATGCGCGCATTTCCACACTTCATTTAAAGGACGCAGATGACAGAAAGAATAATAATAATAATAGATAGTAGGGCCTATCTAATTTGTATAGTGCCTCGTCCCCGAAGTGGAAAGTCTGGGTTCGAGCCTCAGTTTGGACACTAATTTTTTTCACCCCCTCCTGCCCACCCAACAGCAATGGGTACCTGACTTCGAGTTGGGGAAGTAAAGGCGGCGTGGCAAGGAACTGGCCACCCTACCACAATATGCCGAAGGCCCAGGAAGTTGTCTCACTAATAAGGCAATCCCCAATGTACTGATCGGATGCGGGAACAACTTTACCATCTCAGCAGACCTGAAAACATTCTGACATAATCATAAACTTCCAGAGAAGCATTCAGTGCAAGCTGCCATCTTATTGGAGCTAAAACACTAACATGCTGACATCTGTCACTGTCTATAGCTGGGTAAGTGAGGAAAATTCGAGTAATACGGAGTGCTCATTGGGGGATCGACAAACTGATCGCAAACCGATCACCTGAAAACAAGCGCGTTTGTTTTTCTGTTGACGAGTCGGGCGATCGTTGTGTGCCACGATAGGCACTAGGCACTTTGCGCGCTCAATCTGGCTAGCAAGCCGAACCGACCCGAACTGATCGTGCCAATACTCACTTACTTACTACCCGTTACGCCTTAGGCGTTTAGAGCAGCAACAAAGGATCTCCAGCTCTGTCTGTTTTGGACCATCTTGGTCAACGTCCCCCACGAATGGTTCCAGGATTACATTTCAGACTCTACTGTGCGTCTCCATGAGCACCCCGTATACAAAGTGCTTGTCTCAATGACTACACGTCGGGCCTGATCAGGCTCGAACCCCCGAACCCGCACCCTCACAAGTACGAGTCCGGCAGCTCAACCATTATTAGACTGAAGGTGACAAAGATGACGTCAGAGAGCGGATGGGTACAACCTGGGCACGGAGAACAGCTGATAGAACAGAGTGGAGGTCGTTGTTGGAGGGGTACATCCTGCAGTGGATGGACAATTACACCTAGAAAGAAAGAAAGAAAGAAAGAGAGAGAGAAAGAAAGAGAGAGAGAGAAAGAGAGAGAGAAAGAGAGAAAGGAAG